TCCATGAAGGCTGATCCCTTCTGAGACGGTGATCGGTTGTCACCTGGCAATTCTCCGACGAATTTGAAGAGAAGGATGAAGAAGAGAAGACCTGCAGCTGTGCTGCCAATCTTGGCGATGGCCATGGCAAGTCCTCCAAGCTTCACCTGGAGAGGTGTCTCCTCCATTTCAGCACGAACAGACATCATGATTCTTCCAAAGCTGCTGTTAACGCCGACGGAAGTAGCCATGTAAGTGCCAACGCCTTCAAGTACCTTGGCACCAGAAATGATGAAAGGATCCATCTTCTTCATGGCTTGGCCAGATTCGAGCGCCTTCATGACGGCGGCACCAGGAGTCTTGCGCATAGCATCAGACTCTCCCGTGGCCGAAGACTCGTCGCATCGAACGTCGGATCCATCGATAAAGATGCCGTCGACTGGAATGACATCTCCAGGTTCCAAATGTACAATGTCTCCAGCCAGTACGTCGTAGACGCTGATCATGACAATCTTTCCTGAGCGAGTGACCTTGATGTCGCGTTGCTCTTTCTTTGCGTTGAGTCGGGCAAAAGCTTGTTCTTTTTGCCAGTCGTTGACAGCAGTGACAAGAACGACGATGACGATGGCAACGCAAATGGCAAGACCCTCAACCCAGTCGACTGGAGTTGGAGCGCCGGGTTCATGCTCCGCACCAAAGGTTTCGTATAGGCCGAGAGCAAGAGAAATGGCGGCAGCGATGGTGAGGATGATCAGGACGGTGTCGTTGTACGCGTTCCATACCAGCTTCCACAGCGGTGTGACGTATTTTGGTGGCAAAGTGTTGCGTCCGTGTATCCTAATGCGATCCGCAAAAGGTTCACCATTGCTTGGTGGCCTACTCGAATCCGTCTCTTTTGTCGGTGTGTGTGGCCTCGTGGCCTCGTCGAATGTGATTGTGCGCGGCGCGGTCGATTCATCAACTGAGAGTCCAGAGTGAATGTCCGACTGCAAGCCCGCAGCAATACCATGAATACCGCCTAACGCCTGATAGACTGGAAGCGACTTTGGGTTCAAGAGTTTATTCAGCTGAGCAGGCGAAAATGCAAAGGGGTTGTTAGCGACGGTGTTGGCGTCGCTGCAAAGCTCCTGTCGAACGACGGAGGCGTCGGAATCGTCAACCACTGTCGAGGCGCCGCCGGTCGACGCATTACTCGGTGATATTGGGCTCCTGAATGGGTTTGATGTTTGTGATGTTATCGTTTCGGCTTCACTCAGCGCCCGTTGCCGGGTGTTGATTTGAAGTGTGGGGGGAGCTAGCTTGCCTGCCTCCATGATGAAAACAATGGGAGGATAGGACGCTCAGATGAAAGATTCCGATAAACGGATAAGAAGTCCCCGTAGGAGATCTGTAGGAGATCTGTAGCAGCACGTAATAGGGGAGTTGAAAGTGGGTGTATGACACGAGGCAGGGCGCGCGCACAAAGTGACCATATACTCCTCACACCTGGGGGGCTGTGTTGCAGCTCGGTGCCTCAAGGCAAAACCTACCCTGATTTCTTGGGTGCGTCATTAGAATCTGCCTAGAAGGAGATGTTGCCCGCCAGAGCGCTTGAGTGCGCTCCGTCGCACGGGCTTTCACCGGCCTTGTTCATTTCGTGTACGGCCACGGCACACATCACTCGCTGCGATGACCAAGTTCAACGCCCCGGCCAAGCGCTGCGTCTATCGAAGCGCCGCCGACTCGCTGCCAAGCGGAGATGAGCATTGCAATACTGGTGGCGGGCAGCAGCCATGAGCCGCCATGAGCGGAAGTGCCCAGGAACCAAAGAGGACCGGCGCTGCTTGGACGACGGGGCAGTGCAAAACGGGGCCCACAGCTGTCCAGCGCACACACGTGCCTTTTTCGCGCAAGCCGGCCAGCGCCGGAAGCGAAACAGGTACAACATCAACGATGTTTGCGATGGAAAGACAGAGGCCAATTTCGACATTTCCATGAGGCTGTGATAGAGTGTAGACTTGTGTAGGCTATCGCGCAGATCCGGTTGAGGCTAGCAGGGCTGTGTAAGGGGCAATCGCCATTGATTGGTCAGGCCCACCTCGCCACAGTGCTTCGCCACGACTAGCGCCACATCTAGAACAAGGACGACGCCGTATCATCTTCTGCTGGTATACGGTGCGGTAGGCTGAGCACTGTAGCATATATTCCTCAGGCTCCCAGGTTTCGCACCTTCTAAGGCCCAGCGCATTCTACGGGCCTCATTCCTCCTTTGCCAAAGGACAAGTAACACGTACGTACTACCTAATCTAATGCCGGCGTATTCACTCCGATGATTCAGCCCCGATGAGCGCCTCAATCGCCCCGATTCTATAGAATGGCATGTACTCCGACGAAGACTCTTGGACGAGGCAGTGCAAGGACGGTGACTGCTGAACAATGGTCCAGGCTGCGTACACAGTGGCGAAATCCTCTCCTTTACGCAGCGGGCGTTGCCCTGAGCTGAATCAGTACGACGCTAGTATTATCAGGGACGATACGTACGCGAGGCGAACATGTCTTGGGATCATTCTCGAAGTACTCTATACCACATGAGATCGTCATTGATCTGGTCCAGAACGTGCGAATTTCGAAGGCTACGGCGAATCCTTCTCAGTAGCGCTGCTTGAGTGTTGTACCTACACCTACCACCTGTGCGAAGAAAGCTGCGGCCGTTCCTGTGACTACCAAGTTCGCCATAAGCATGTCTGTGGCGTAAGGGGTTGGGGCACGTGGCTTTTAGGGCGGTGCTACAAGCGTTCCAATGTTGATTTGGACTACTATCTAGCGTACCGAACCAGAGAAACGTAAAGGCAGTGGCTGAGAGTCAGTCGTGGACGATTACGCGACCTTGGAAGGGGCAAACCATGGGATCTGATGGTCGACTGCGACTTTGAAAGCCCGTGTTCACAGGCACTGATGTTGAGGCTTCATAATGTTCCTCTGCACCATGGCCGAAAGCATCCTAGGATTCAGGGATTGTTCACCACATTTACTCGTTCATGACTTCATGGGCTTCTAGAGCGCGTGCGCTGTCGACGTATTCTGTGTCTTTCCAGGTGTCGCCCTTTGTAGGGCTGGTATCTGGAGACTTTTAATCGCCCGCTGAATACAGCCCAGCGTCATTCGCTTCAGATGACCGATGGTCCAGGGGCATCATGAAAGCTTCACTGACATTGCACCAGACCTTACAAGAAACACTGCGAGCAGCGGACCTTGAGTGGATGCACCTCCACGTCGGACACTTGACAGACTCTCACATGGTGCCAATTGCCAAGGTCAAGTATGCCTCTCCGGCATTCACTATCGATGTACTCAAGAAAACATTGACCATCTTAGAATGACAATCCCTGCACACGGTTGGACTACCTGAAACAGCAGCCTCGTCACATATGTATCAAAGTCCGATCAACATTGCATGGCTGGGCGACACGATCCTGGAACATCGGTCGTTCGGGTCCTTGGCCCTCGATTGATGAACTTGCAGTGCATTGCAGAACCAAGCGACGGGTATGCGTATACCATTTACAACACGGAGAACCAAAGTCCGTTCAGGATCAGCATCTTATATATAACCAGACTAACTTTATTTCCCCAAAAACCCTCTAAACTGGCCGGAAAGTAGCTAAAAATACTCGTAAAACTCGCCGCTTTTTCCCTATCTACTTTTAAAAGCCGTACGACGTCTGTACGTGGCGCTATTGCCGTGCAAAGTATGCACTTTTTAGCCGTGCGCGAGGTTTTGGTGTTCACGAGCAAAATATAGCCGTGCGTAGACTTCACGTAAGCAGCACGTGATAGATCTTTCACCTTGCAAACTCTATTTACTAGGTATCTATATATTTTCTATAATATTATTTTTACTATAATAAATAACGCGTACTAGGTATAAGTCTATATAGTTATTATATAGGTATAACTATGTATTTCTAGGTAAGCACGCACGCACGCCTGCCTGCACGCCGAGGACGCCTGCGCTGTCCCCTAACAATCCAGACTTTGGCTAATCCCCTGGCATCTTACAAGTCGTAGAAACCCCACTGATATCAGCAAGTCCCCAAGTTTGCTCAGATACGCTGAATTGTCACGTTCGGATCGAACAAGTATGTTTGGTCAGCGAGCATCAGAGCATCGGCAGGAAGTGGCGAACAGATGGTTCTATTGAGTAGGTTTCGCGCATGAGAAGGTTGCGCTCCAGGTGCCCAAGGAAGCATAAGACTTCATGCAGTCTGATAAACCTGAAGGGGAAAAGATATGCAGTCGTTGGCGTGTGTACAAACAGCTTCTGACGACTCCCAATGACCATGGAATACTTATATAAGGTGTGGCTCGTAAATTGTTAGTCTGAGCTGTAGCTTGTACAGTTTATGTCGACACTTCAGCTCAGCTGCAATAGTCTTTGGTTCATGCAACAGCGAGGAGTTTTTGATGCGATGCAGGACTTCTAGGGCGTCTCTTTGAGACTTACGATCGTAAGTATGATGAAATTCGAATATCAATAATCTTGCCCCGTTCATCGTACGAGTGCCGCAATAAAGATCCGTCCTGTATACCATCTGAATACTCCAAGATAGCATAGCAGGAGTTGTATTATAGGACACGCAGTAGGCGTGCAAGTCATTGTCGTCAAATAACCAGTTGCAACCCAAGTCCCCGCCGTTCCAACGTCGCCATCGGTTTTTTCTACTTCAGTATCAGATTGAAACTGTTTCCTATCTCCATATCTACAACCCAGAAGTGATGCTAGAGAGTGGGGTGAATTTAGGCGAGGTCAACCCCGCTGCTGAGGTTTTTTTTTTCGGTCTGACCCCGCACGAAAAGATTCAAATCCCCGCGGAGGACCACACAACCACAAAAGATGCTATCCGCAGCCAAATCATCGTAGTTGGCAGTCTATACTGTACAATATATAATCCTTATTTTGAAAAAATTACAAATCATCAGATTCGGGCACTTGGGTAAGATTTCTCCACTCTCCTAGTATTTCACCACCGTTTCTAACACCAATCTAGTCTAGGGGTATGATTTTCGCTTCGCAAGCCTGGTGCTTTATTGTGAAAGGTCATGGGTTCAATTCCCATAGTGTCCAGTCTTTTTGGGCTTTCTTTTTGTGTCCGTGGTGTTGTGGTGGTGGTTGAAATGGTGGTAGAGGCGCAGGGGATGATGAAAGGGTGCGACACCACAACGACCTCAAGAATCAGGTTCCAACCTATTTATTTCATTAATATGCAATGGTACTCGTGCCTGTTTAATTAAACGTGAGATAATCCGTGAATGCGGTGATTACACAACGTCGAAAGGCTGACAGTTGCACAATTGGCTTGTACGACATATTCTTTAAAATGCTATGAAGCTTACAGCAGCACTAGCCTACTCAGCCTCTACTGTTTACGCAACCAAGAAGCAGGAGAGTACGTTGTCAAACAAAGAAGGGGGTTACAAAAGTATATTCGAGCTCTTGCGTGAATGACATTCCCCGAACTCACAAGCACCACCGCGGGGCTCTTCTCCAGAGAATGCCACATGTCTTGTCGTGCCTCCTGCCCTTCAGGATACCACACGCACGATGTCCCTGAGACAAACCTTAGTCCTTGCGCCAGGTGTCCGTCGACCACACATCTGTAATTCCAACCGCAGCGAACGAACACAAGCAGGTCTTCTCATCACGTGAGAATGCTTAAAGTCTACATTTGCGCAGTGGAATAACACTTAATTATTGAGCTAGCTTGGTAGTATGGAGAACAGAGATACTGTCATGACCGTTTGATATCAGGGACAAGGCTGAATGAAGCCAATCGGACGTCCTACTGCATTCGATAGACCCTAAGAGACGACGAAATACTTCACCGACGAACGCGGAAAAGCACGCTAATATTGGAGCCGTTCGCGGCCATGATGGCAAAGAAGCCCGCCATCTTCGTGCACAACCCCTCTCAAGGATTTACAACGCTTTCTAATAGTGCATCTGTCATCTTTTATCTCGTTCCTTAGCTTAAGGTTTTACCTTTTGTTGGAAAGAGAGCATGCAGACTTCAAATGATCCACGAATTCGCCGAGTCCATCAAACGTCTGCATACGTAGGAGCTCATATTATTCAGTCATTATCTTAGGCAAGCAGCAAGATCCCCAGTGCTATACGGTAGCAGGGAGACGACAAAGATATGGCGAACTCAAGTGGTATACTCTCTACTATGTGTAGAGGATACATGAATTTCCCCAGCACATTTCCAGCGGTTTCTGCTGTACTATATTGACCATGGTGCTGGCATCTGTAACTGAATGCAGATATCCTCCTTTACAAATTCGACACTCTTAGCACCGCGTGTGTGCGCGTGAACGATTGGGATACGCGCGTATCGTGGTGGAGGACAATGATGAAGGGATTACGATATGATACAATAGAATACGGCTGAATGGTGAGTTGCACGAGATGAACATTGCGGATGAAAAGTGTCTCGAGGAGATATAGATAGTAAATACCGCTTCGCTGGTTGATTGACTAGAGATTGTTCCATTGGTCAGTTTCATATTGGGGTGTCGGTCTCAATGGGGTTACTGAGCAATGGAATTCCAGCTCACTTTGTATACTGTCTGCATAACATCTGGTGAGTAGACCGGTCATACACGACGAGGAAGTGAGCTAGATTACGTCTGCATCTTACGGTGCTTGGTTAATGATGGCAATACTGAAACTCCGTCAACTCACACCAAGGGGCCAACCACAAGGATTCACAGTTAATGGTCGAAACATGTAAAGAGTAGATTGTCAAAAAAGCAAGAGGATATCTAAACGCTGATTTCGCAACAAAGGAGAAATTCGTAAAGCATGACGATACGTTCGCTGGTATCCAACGCCCAAACGCCCATCATCACTCCACCAGTGCCCGACCCGAACCGCTCATCATAAACCCCAACCCCACCCCTCTTCATCGCTGCGACGGATGTCGTTCATGCGGTGGCAACTGATTATACGGCGTATACAGCGGCGCAGGCGCATACTGCATCTTTGCGTAATCCTGCGGATTATACGCATACTTTTGTATCGGGGCTTTCTGATCGCTGAGCCGTCTCTTGCGGTCGTCGTACTCCTCCCTCGTTTCCTCCATGGTTGGGAGTTCAGATGCGAAAGATTTTTCCAAACCAGGTGAGCGCATGCCGTCTGATGGGGCGTAGGAGCTTGGTTGGGAGCTGGCTGAGCTGTGGGACATTTGGGACCATCGCGCATCTTGTGGTTGGGGGGAGTGCTGCGACGAGTCTGTTGTTGTGGATATGCGGTTGGAGCTGGGGTGGAGGAGACCGGGGGAGGTGGGCGGGTGGACGTAATCGCCTGGTAGCTCCATGACTACGTTGTTTTGGCCTAGGAGCTGCTGTGGGGGGATCTGGGGTTGCCCGGGTTGTCCGTATTGACTGTGTCTTTGGAAGGTTGGCGATCGGCCTGGCGACATGGGCATTTGGTATTGCTGGCCTGGCGAGAGCCGTGGAGACATTTGCCCGCCGTGCGACCGATCTGCTGGGTTGATGGTGGTCAACTTCCCGTTCTCCATCATGCCGTGCAGTGCGCCAGAGTCTAGCAGTTCCGCTTTCTTGACCAATCGCTCCACCATGACTTTGGCAGCTGCCTTCATTTCCTTCTTCACGAAGCTGACCATCGTGACGTTGCACTTGATCTCCACGTCTTCGCGAATGTATAGGCCCTCAGGTGGTGCGCCTGATCCCAGCTCTTTCGGCTCTGGTGGCTCGCCAGGTTGGTTTCCACGAATCTCCCATTTGTTGCGTAGGTCAACATTCGCAGGCGCATACGTGTGTGTCTGTAGGCCAAAAGGCAGGTCGTGAAAGACACCTCGGAACTTGATTGCGCCGCTACCCATCTTTCCTATGCCGGGAATATATTGTATGCGCTGCGATATCTCGTACCATGTCGAATAGAATTCGTCTGCGGGCGCATCGCGGGGCGCCTTGATGGGTGCGTGACCCGTTACGAGCGGATTCAGCTCGATAATCTCGCCATGGCTGTGGAGGAAGTCGATTGCAAGTTGGCGCGGAATAAACGAGGGTATGGGCGTTATGTGTACGTAGGATGTCTTTTTGCGCATCATCTTGAGATTCGTATGCGATTTTTCGGTCCGATTGTGTCTTGAAAGGTCGAGGATGAGGATTGCGAGCGAAGTGAGGCGCTGCACTTAAGAGGGGGATTATCAAGTGGCTATCAGTGGGCAGTAAGCACTGCTGACGGACCCCTGCCGTGTAATGGCTCTCGGATGGGCTAGCAAGCTCTCAGCCCAAGATCGTCATGACGAAACGCGTCATGCACGTGGCGGACTTGAGTTCAGATGGATATGAAATAATATTTGTGTTGTATGGAAATATAGGTGCATTCTCAAGCAACTCGAATGGCCACTGTCGTACGACTTGTCACAATCTTCTGTTGTGTCTTCTGTTGTCCCATGTCTTCGCAGCCGCTGCGCAGTTCCTTCGGTTGGGGTTATTCTTGGTCGGGGGCCGTCAGCGCGAGCAGCACAGTGTGGGGCAGCTGAGGATCCTCAGGATCCACTACTGGCTGCCTAGCACTAGCCCGTTGACTTTACCATCGTTTTTGAAGACGGTAATTACGCTTGCCGATATATCTTAGTATATCCCGTGTGCTTCTCCGGAGTGCCCCTCTCTTTCTCAATTCTTGCTGTTGGTGACCATGTCCCGGCAAGCAGCTCTTCCGGCTGGTAACTAGTTCATCGCCAATCGTGTAAGCGAAGCAAAATCCTGGGCACACGACATCAGGGGCTGAGTCTCAAACGAATAATTTTCTCGTCTTTCTTGAGCATTGCTGAAAAGGCCCGCGAAAGCGAGGAATGCATTGGAGTTTGAGTCAATTCTGGAACTGAAACTACAAGGCCGTATTGATGGTTTCGCATCGTTCGTTGTGGAATGTGAAACCGCATGTGGCTGACTCATCTGCACTGCCACACAGGGACGATATACCAACATGCGATGCATCCTCAAGTCGCACATTGGTCGCTGCAAAGTGAATGATAATGCTGTGTGAGTATCGAAAGAGTTGGGAAAGGTCTGGAGTTGCAAAGAAGACGATGCGCCATCTTTGTTGTACGCGATGCGTAGGAGAATTCGAGCGAGAGGTTTACCATACAGAGACACGGTACACTTCAAGCTAATCGTTCTATAATAGCTCTGGATGCCATGGCTCATCTCAGTGCTCTAAGTATGCTACAGTGAAGTTGTTATGTCAGCGTTGCAGTGCAAGGACTGCCAGGAAGGTAAAGGCAATAGAAAAAGCAAGATCAAGAGCACGACGCAGGAGCCAGGCGATGTCAGTCACGATGCAAACTACAGCATCACGCTTCAATACGACGGTACATGCACCACGCAGTATTATGACCCAACCCTGCGTCTCTCGAACCATGGTACCATCCCCACGCTACTCCATTGACTCACAACATCCATCAATATCAAACAGCGTATCCTCCACGCTGCCTCATCACACACACCATGACACCACCCTTCCGCGAAATCGGCCGCGGCTGCTGCGGCACCGTCTACACCCAACCCTCCTCCCTCCACGCCATCAAGCTCGAGAACGGCGACCCCGCCCGCTCCATCCTGAACGACCACCTCATGCACCACCGCATCCTCCACAGCGCCAACGCCAAAAGCCTCCCCATCCACATCCCCGCATCCCACTTCATCATCGAACCCAATTCCCCCTGGTGGAACGAAAATCTAGCAAATTTCCCCTCCTCGCAACAACAACAACCCTGTCGTGCCTACATTCAGGAAAGAATCCCCGCCGTCCCCAAGGCCGTAAGAAATTTGCTTATAGAAACGCATTGTCCACCCGCGCTCCGCTCCTCCGCTCACTCAAGTGCTAAAAACGAAGATTGCCTGATTCGCTTGTACACCGGTAAGCGCGAGTCAGGCCGTACAAAGCGCTTTTTCAGTTTGCGGAACTACGGGTTGAGCGTTGATGCCATGGAAGGTTTATTCTGTCCGTCTTTTGATATCGAGGGCGTGGTGCAGAGTATGGCGCAGACGCTCGCGCATTGTTTTTGGGTTGCACATGTTGATGCGAATGATGTT